GAGTGCTGTAGCATCACAGCTCACAGCAACCTCAAAATCTTGGGCTTAAGTGATTCTCTTGCCTCAGTCTCCCAAGTAGCTGGGACTGTAGGCACTCGCCACAATGCCCAGCTATTTTTTTGTTGCAGTTTGGCTGAGGCCAGTTTTGAACCCACCACCCTCGGTATATGGGCCGGCACCCTACCCACTGAACCACATGTGCTGCCCCTGTTTTTTTTTTTGAGACAGTCTCACTATGTTGCCCTCAGTAGAGTGCTGTGACATCACAGCTCACAACAACCTCAAACTCTTGGGCTCAAGAGATTCTCTTGCCCTAGCCTCCTAAGTAGCTGGGACTATAGGCTCCTTGCCACAATGCCCGGCTATTTTTTGTTGTTGCAGTTGTCACTGTTGTCTAACTGGCCTGGGCTGGGTTCAAACCCATCAGCCGGGGTATATGCGGCTGGCGCCATAACCGCTGTGCTATGGGAGCTAAGCCAAGACCATTCAGTGTTAAAAAGACTTGAATTCTTGAGCTCAAGCAATCCGCCTGCCTCAGCCTTCTAGAGTAGTAGGATTATAGGCATGAGCCCCCATACCTGGCCCTTAATTTTTTAGTTTTTTATACTTAATGCCACTGAACTGTATACTCAAAAACAACTAAAATAGTAAATTTTGTTATGTATATTTTTCCACAATTAAAAAAAAGAAGAACTTCATAGAATATATACTAACCTGGGTATAGTGGCTTAAGCCTGTAATCCCAGCTACTCAGGAGGCTAAAGTGGAAAGATCACTTCAGGCCAGGGGTTCAAAACCAGCCTGGGCAACATAGTAAGACTTCCATCTTAAACAAATAAACAAAAAAGAATGCATACTAAAGGCGGGTGCCTGTAGTCCCAGCTACTCAGTAGGCTGAGGCAAGAGAATCTCCTAAGCCCAGGAGTTTGAGGTTGCTGTGAGCTGTGACGCCACAGCACTCTACCCAGACTGAGACTCTGTCTCTTAAAAAAAAAAAAAGAATGGGGCGGTGCCTGTGGCTAAAGAAGTAGGGCACCGCCCCCATATGCCAGAGGTGGCAGG